TAATCTTAGCAATTATGATAAGCCTACATACAATGCAAACTACACGCTGCTTCACACCACCTGGCCCAGTGGTCTTCACCACCCAAGAGAGTGTTCAACCTCTCTCTCCTCTTAAATAGTCATGCCTGTGGACAAGAAGACCTAAAGCTAGTACCAAAAGGCTATTGGTGGAATGAGCTTCCACAATACCTACACCACAGCTATGTAATGTATACACTCTGTTTTCAACAAGAAACGTAGCTTTAAGGTAAATCTTAAGTCCATGGGCAGAGGAATATTAAATGCTAAGATATAAAAAGAAAAGTTTTATTTATATGGATGTGTTAAATAATGCAAAATAAAAGCATCCTGATACAGTCTGTATGTATCAAGCCTCCTTGAAAGTCCTGGAGTCAGATGAGTCACAGAAGCAAGGAACAGCTGAGTAAGGCTCTGTCACTATCTCATGAATGAGTCAGAATTTAATTTACTATTGTTAAAGTTGATGTTCTTGGATCTGGAAAGGTTTCAGAAACCACGCTGGCAAGTTCTATCATTTCCAGCCAAATGATGAGCACTCTAAAGCCACTTTTCAATACAAAAATAGTATATTAAAACACATTTAAGTAAAAAGGTTTGTGCATGCATATCACAATTTGAGTCATGACCACCTCTGGTCCCCAACACCAGTCGCTCAATGAGATGCACTGTGACTGACATAGGAATGCACAGTCCACCTACAAGGATGCTGTGTCCCTATAGCATCTGTAGCCACTGAGAAACATGTAGTTAATAAGGATTTTCTTTATAGACAAAAGATCTTCTTTGGGAAGTGTCCATTCTATTGAATCTGTGTCATTAATTGTAAAAGTAGTTTTTCTTCTAATCATGAGCTCAGAAGGAACACGGATGATAGCATTAACCCTTTACCTAATATCCGCAACACGGAGAAGCATGATTTTCCTGAGTCAGAGAATACAAGGCACATAATTCAGGTCATGATTATTTTGGATTCGTTGGCTCAGCATCTGCAGTGGAAGCAACTGAAAGTACAGTTACAAGAGATGAGTATAATATCCCTTAATTATGAGACATTTAACAACAGTTGAAAGTATAAATGGAAGGGGCAGGTGCCAGGTGAATGAGGAAGGAGAGGATGATCTAGCCCGAACACCACACCATCTTAGAGTCATTTTGAAACATAATGTGCTTTATCGCTGTGGTTTTCAAGGCTTATTTGAGGAGCCGAGGGTTATGGGATGTGTACGAGGGAAATGTTCCTGAGAAGCCACAATCTTTTCTATTCTCTTTGTGGTTGCTTCCCCTGCTTGTGTTTGCAATCTGTGTCTGTGTCTCCTCTGACTAGGAATTTGTGCTGCAAAGACACTGCCAAAACTCCTCTCTACTCACATTCCATTTGATTGATTCATTGGGGCTACAATGCCATTTCAAGATTCTGTAAATGTGGATTGGCAACCACATGATATGGTCCCTAGCCATATTGCCTTCTTCCAGTAATTCAGCAGCTACATCGATTTTGGCTTTATTTCTTTTAATGGCTTACTGTCTCAACTAGATGAACAGATACCGTAGACACATTTAAGTACACATGTGTATATAATTAAGTGCTTATGCATAGGTAGCAACTAGAGCCAAGACCACAGTATTCTCAATCACCGAGACAAAAGAATGTGCTTACAAGATGGTCATCTCTGCAGTTACAGAATTTGAACAGTACGCATAAGGATCATAAGCTCCATTCAAGCATGGGCTGTATAATGAGACCCTGTTTGAAAACAACAAAAATGAATAATGTGTTGAATTCTGTCTTAGTAATACTCAAAGTTAACTATAATTGAATCATAATTCCCTCATAGTACTAATTCCTAAACAAGGACTTGAATGATTTGGCACCAAAAATTCCATTTCATAAAAGAAAAACTAATGATAAATCCCACATGATCATGTCAGAAAGTATTGTCTCAACATCTACAGGAGCTACTAGTGAAAATAATTCAGGCGAAGATACAGGATGACTTGAATATCACCTATACACTACTGGGATGGTAAAAATAGGGTATATTACGTTCTTCATGCACTATTCAGATAGATAGACAGATGATATATAGATAGATAGACAAATGACTTATTGATAGCTGATAGACAGATGGCAGAACAAATGATGCAATAAGAAAAATGAGTGAAAAACAGAAACTTGAGTGAAATCCACAAGAAAAATAAAGTGATAGATGGCAAATGAGTGCAGAAAGACACTCAGCATTGTAGTCTACCAAGGAAGCATTAAATGATAACACTGCACATCACTCAGAAGACATACAATTACACAAACAACACCAACTTACAGGAAGGATCCAAGCAAACCAGACAATGTGCACACCATTGGTATGAGTGTTAAATGGCCACTTTTCAGGAATGCATAGATTTTTGTTTCTTAAAAACATCTGTGCAATTATTATCTATCTTGTAACTAAGAAATTTTGTAATTGCATTCTTAAGCATATATCACAGAATGTAGGACTCACACTCACCCAAAACCTGGGCATGTCTATTTACAGAAGTTTAATCTGAAATATCCTTAACCTAAAATAATACTCAGCGATTATTGAATGAATGTAAAGAGGAAAGCCATGCACTGTTGTAGAAAGGAGTTAGGGTGGACACTTGTAGTGACTGGGTACCTCTCCAGGGATTTATGCTGACTAAAATACAACAGGTTCAGGGTGTATACAGTCGTACCCAGTGATGAAGGATTGGCTTTACAATAGAAAGTCAAAGAAAGAAAAGCATATGGAAAGAAGTGGTACAGGACTTCCCTCGCATGTGGTCTTCAGCTATGGGGAAAAAAATCACAATTTCAAACGTGTACATACTACAAAATATCATTTGCCATTGTTTTGGTTTTTACTTGCATGATCCCAGTCAGTAGCCCAAGTTATCCCTGTTCTTCTCCCCATTCTCCCCCTCTGTTCTTCTTTAAGTTTATAGGAGATAGATGTGGCTTGAGGAATCTGTCAGTCATTGCATTTGAGTTGATCTGCTTCTTTTGGTTTTCTAGGGCAATAGTTTTGCTAGGGCTACTATACTTCTTCCAGGAGTCTAAAGTTAATAAATCAATTAACATCTATTAATCATGTATGTTACATTTAACACTGGGAGGTAAGTTGGTTTAACAAGACCATATTTCCTGATACTGACAGATCTTTTTCAACTCCAGCTTAACATGTTCAGCTTTCATTCAGATATGGCTCATGGACTCAGAAAAAAATAGCCTTATCTGGTTAGTTATTAAAAGATTTCTAACTCCCGAGTTTAATTCAAATTTAATTTCCTAATTAAATGGGTAAAAATAATATTGAAATAGAATGTATGAAGGATTAACTATAGCTTTTCATTTCTTATTGTGATTTTGGTTGTATTTGATGACAAAATTTACACTTTTCACTGGCTATTTGATGTATGATTATGTTGAAGCTTTTCAGCTTAAGGAACACCCAAGATGGTATTCTTGTTTTGAGACAGTTAATATGATGAATTAAATGTGTTTGACAAGCCTGGGCCCCATTAATGTACAAAGTCTTGTCAAAATAAGGTTTGTGTTTCTATCTCCACAAGAAGTCACAGCTTGACATCCAGACAGAGGTCTAATGAACGCAAAAGAATGTGGTCAGTTTATCTCAGAGTTCACTGCCTCTCTGTTCTCACTGAAGTGACAAGACTGTATGGGTGCTTGTCTTGGGCATGGGCTTCTGCTCTATGGTCTTTGACATGCATTCCTCTGACTGGCTGGACATGGGGTGCTGTGCTGATTTAAATAAGATAGTCCTATAGGTTCACATATTTGAAAACTTAGTCACCAGGAAGTAGAAATCTTTAGTAGGTTAGAAATATTAGGAGACATGGCCCTTGTTGGAGGAAGTACGTCCTTGGGGAGGGGGTGGACTTGGAGGTTTCAAAAGCCCACGGCAGGCGCAGTCTCTCACTGCCTCATTCTCTTGGCCTCCAGATCACAATGTAGCTCTCCACTACGATGATAATTGGCTGATCTCTGAAACTGTAAGCAAGTCCCCAGTAAATGATCTCTTTTACAAAAGTTGCCTTGGTGATGGTGTCTCTTCTCATCAAAGGAACACTGACTAGCATAGATGCCAATTCAGAGACACTGAAATGGCTGGAGTCTATTGCAATGGGAGGCATTCCTCCCAGTTTTATGTAAGGGATTACTTGTGACTTAGGATCCTAGAAATGTAAGTGTATTTTCTAGCAGAAATATTAAAACACACTAATAAACTGACATATGGGAAATATATTTTGAAAGGGTTACTTTTCTCTCTCTTTATGAGGCTTATCTTCTTGGGGAACTCTTATGAAAACATACAGACAATAGCAAATGTTTGATTAATACTTCCATGAGAATATACATCGTTAGGATTTGAAAATGTAAGGCAAATGGGTATTGGCCATTATATATTAGCTAAATTATTTTCATTATTAAAATATTTCCAAATTTCAAGTTCAAGACTAAAAAAATAGCTGCTTTTGAACAAACAGCAGAATATTTCATGATTTTCTTTTTTAAAGACTTATTTTCGTGTGTGTGTGTGTGTGTGTGTGTGTGTGTGTGTGTGTGTGTGTAGGTGCCTGAAGACAAAGTCAGATTGCCCAGAGCTGCAGTTAGAGGCTAGAGGCACTTTGGCCAATCAGACAAGGATGCTGGGAACTGAATTCCCATTCTCTAAAACAGGAACTCTTGATTCCTAAGCCATTTCTCCAGCTCTATGTTGGAGAACATTTTAAATACCTGACTGTACGATTTATCAATTCTTGGTGTATTGCTTTACTCCTACTGACTTAGAATGTTTGAATAAGAATGTTGGTGTATCTTTGTCTGTGTGTCTTTCCTTTCTGCGGATGCCAGATCTGCCTGCATGACTTAACTGTTTCTCCCACACTCCTATTTGTTGGTATGTTCTACAAAGTTCTCTGTGTTCTTGGACTCTCTCTGCTCTATAGTTCTGCCTTCCTTCCCACGCACAAATGCACACAATCCACACTTAACCCAGCCTTGAGAAAAACAGTCCTTATTCGGGCACGTCCCTCTTTCCTTACGAATTGGGTCACTCGGCAGCTCTGCTTTTGGGTCATGGCCTCATTTCCGCCGCAAATTCTTCATCTCCTTGAAAGCTCTAAAATTTTCCCAGAGAACAGTCTTAAAAAACTTTCAAAAGCAAATCTTGGAGCTGAATAGAGAACGGTTTATAATTGGGCAGCCTCAGAGGATTTGGGTTTCTGTCTACAGAGATCAGCAGCAGGATTTTACAGATTGACCCGGCTGGGCTTCCGTTCCTGGCTGCAGGTCTTTGCTGAGGTCTAGCTGACTGCTATTGAGAATATGTCTCAGCCTAATAAGTGCGGCAGTTTTGCTTTCGTTGACAAAATGGAAAACCTTCCTTTCATAGAACTTCAAGGCTAATTGAAAACGAGAAACAATTCTTTACAATCAAAACCAGTTTTTTCAGTTTCTTCCATCTGGGTACTACTAGCTTCAGAAGACAGGAATGGTCAATAAAGGAGGGACGTAATTCCCGTGGGAGAGCACTGGCTTGTGAGATACACGGATGTCTTTGCCGCAGGGATCTTTTTACCAGATAAGCTTTATGTACAGGATTTCCTAGGAAAGAATAAATAAACGGAAATTACCAAGTTAGCTTAGCCAGTATAGAACATGTGATGGAGAACATGACTCTCAAAACCATGCTTCATAAACCCTAGTGAACTGCACATATTTAAGTGGCAAGTATAACGAGAGGAAACATCTCTTCACTGAGCCATGCAATGACCTGGTGGGGGACAAACCCACTCCTCATTAATCCTCATTAGAATATTGCACCTAATTGACTCTACCTTGGCTGCTTTCTTTCAAGTTGTCTACTGCCAGCCAGCTCGGACCACCTACTTCCTGGAAAGATAATCTAAAGCATACTGAGATTTCCACTCACAGTTCACAACCCAACATAGACCAAGATCTCACACAGCCTTTCTGCTCATATTGTCATAGCTGGATTTTTTTGTTTGTTTGTTTGTTTATTTGTTTGTTTTTCAAGACAGGGTTTCTCTGTGTAGCCCTGGTTGTCCTGGAACTCTTTCTGCAGACCAGGCTGGTCTCGAACTCACAGAGATCCTGCTGCCTCTGACTCCCCAGGGCTGGGATTAAAGAAGTGCACCACCAATACCCAGTAGTCATAGCTGTTTGAAAACTGGACAGGTGGTGAACAGCTTCTCTGTAAGGAGTGCATCTTCTCCATGCTGAGGTTAATCTTGCTATGGCTTTGATCTGGGGTCCCTTGAAGACCTCTATGTTCAGAGCTTCTTCCCTAGGATTGCATGGATTGGAGAGGCAGGGGAACCTGTATGGGGTGGGGACCTTTAGTCTGTGGCAGACTTGTCCTTGGAAGGACACAGTAGGACCCAGCTCCTTCCTCCTCTTCCTCTCCTCTGCTTCCTGCTGTGAGCTGAGTGCATTTGCTTCTCCCTGGGCTTTCTGAATCCCTGCCTCACCCAAGGCCACAGGAACACCTGTTTCCAGGCTGAGACCTTTGAAACTCAGAACCAAGCATTCCCTCTCTTCCATAAGTCACTCAGCTATTTGTTCAGTAACAGAAGGATGATGAGCAGTGGTATCTGCAGCACGGAGTGATTGCTAGAACACTGGCTTGTCCCAGTTGACCTGCAGATATACTGATCAGTACAAAACTAACATAAATCCTTTTTTCTCCCTGACCACTTCAGAGATGTTGGTGCCTGGTCCACTTATCGGAAAACAGCATGACACATGCATTCTACACCACGGGATATGTTCCCATCTCTAATTGTGTTTGTTTATTAGTATAATTTTGTGGGCTTATCCATCTTTACCAGACATTTAATTGTTTTCATCATTATGTGTTTATTCATGAGAGCTGGCAAGGTAACAGGCACACTGTAGCTAGCCAATAATTAGAACCACAGAATGAATGCAAACATCAGGCTCTGTCCCCATCTGGATTCTTAGTTTGGGGTTCAAATTACTGATCTCAGTAATGCAGCCTTGAACTCATCTTGTATTTGCTTTCCAAGGGACTGATCTGTAGCTGCTAATCACAGTCACCCTGAAAGTGATAGGATCTGAAATGAATGCCATGCAGCAATAAAAAAAATCTGTGGTTAGTGGTTTCTGAGAAGTGGTCAGGTTATAGTATGAGCACACACAATTATTGTTCACCATTGTGAAGACATACTATTTCTGCGAAATATCTGCTCCCTTTAACATGGTTAATGCATGTTCATCTAAAGTCATCAATCAGTAAGGACAAGGATCAGACTACCTAGTACTACATTATATGTAAATAAAATCATTAGCTTTCTCAAAACTCACTGGTGATTGTCTAATGTCTTCTACAAATTGTGAATTTTTTAATTAACAGAGGCTATGAGAATGCTTATTCTGTAAGTATAGCTTATAAGGCAAAGCAAGTTATTGAACTTTAATTATGGAGACTTCAATCTACATAAATTTAACCACTAAAGCCTTAAAAATGCCTCATACTTCATATTCTTTTTGAAAATCGACAGGACTAGCTTGCATATACCTGCACTACATTGTTGCAGGCAGGCAGTGAGCATCTCTACTTTGCCTTAAATGTCTGTAGGTAAAGGAGACAAAGTTGAGGAGTTCACTCTTTGACAACAGGAAAAAAAGACAAAGTTTGTATTTAGATTTTTATCTTGTGTTGAAATATATTGATCCTGATTGAAAAATACTACAAAACTAGATGTTTGTATAACATATGGTTTTCTACCTTTTCCATATTCTGGTTTTAAATTTAACATGCACCAATTAATTAAATCAAAAGAACACTGGATCTTATATGGAGACATCAAAAAATTCAAGAGCAGTGTACACATTGTTAGTTCACCAAGGAGAACCTCACCACTTTGGAAGTACACAAATTAAATGCCAGTCCTCAGCATTGGCATATGTGACCTGACTTTCTCTGCTTGAATTCTTGCAGCAGTTGTCAGGTATAACTGCGATTTGGTTTTGACTAAATTATCACTAACGTGGTAAAACACCAGCCTGCCATATTTTATCCTAATACGTCTATTTATATAAACAAATATACATTTATATACATTCATAAATATGTTTCTATATATGCATGGACATATGGAAAATAGAGGCATATTTTATTTGAAGTATAGGCATATAGTATCTTGGACTATAAAAATGTTATGCTTGGGTCTTAGATTGGTCTGGCTTCAGGCATGTAATAATATTTCATAGGACATTTGTAAAAGGAAGTTTCTGTGTTTGGCTTCCTATCACTTTCCCATTCTGCTGGTTCAGGGAATGGCTTCCCTCACGGCTCAGGTTCTATAGAACTAGGGTTTCTGGGCTGTCTTATCACCACTGTGTCATGGTCCTCAATGTTTTAGTACACTGAGTCTCTTTAGCTACTACCTGAGAAGAGTTTATAAACACCATTATCCTGTGCCCTCTGGAGCGTCTCAGACACCAGGCACTCTCACTTTGCTTCGTGACAGCAGATCCCTCCTCTTCAGGATTCACCGGTGTTTCTCTTCTATGTTTCCTCTTGGTAGCTTGGCATTTTTTCATTGAATCAACACATTCCATATCTATATTACATAGAATCTATGTTCTAAATGCTACCACATCCAAATGTATCTGGCTCTCCCTTTCCACATGATGATTTATCATCCTAACCTCTTAACACTCTAACCTGGAGGCTATCTAGGAATCCCCAACATCAAGTCACACAAATATGCTTCCATTTCTAGAAATCGCACTGACCAGTACTCCTGTGGCTAAACTAATACCCTCAGAATCATTACAGATCTGTCTTGCTACATGCCAAGTTCCCATTTAGTGCATTAGTCAGTCTGTTAAAAAAAGATATTGCCAAAACAACCCCAAAGTCTCTTTTCCCTACCACCAAAGTAGGCCAAGGAACATAATTTTAATTAAAATCGGGATTTTCATGGTGAATATTAACGCTGTGACATTCAGAACCTAAGCTGAGGTCATTGTGTAATGGAACTTGTCAATGTTCTCCAGAAGGACAGACTGAATAAGTAGATGGTCAAGGATTAGGCAGAGGAACTGATTCACACCAGCAGATTATCTACAAGTCTAGGGCTGCCATGCTAGGAATGCCGTGCAGCCAAGTTCGCCGTTTCAGGACCAACGAAGCTGATGCTGCAACTCATTAGCTCGAAAGAATTCCCTGGAGCACGGGACCCCCATGTTGACCTTAATAGCTACCAATAACTTACAAGTTTTAACTATGTTCACGTGTTTCCCCTATGCACACAACCCTCTAAAATCCACTGAAATATTTCATGACAATTTCTAGATGTTAAACGTGACCTAGTAACACTTGAAAACCCACGAAAACATAATTATTAACAGTAATAGTTTCGTATTATTAAGTATATAAGTTTTGCTTAAGACCTTGAAGGTATGGGAAGCATGAATGTTGATGTGCTTGTCAGAGTTCAAATATTACTGCAGTAGTTCCCACACATCTTACTTTTTATATCCACACACTGACTTTACTGTTTTATTAATAAAAATACCTATGTCACCTTGTCACCTGTGTGTTGGATTTAACAAAGCCAGTCCTTATGCTAACGAGGATTTGTTGCTGCTTATGAAACCTGTAGAAAGAAAAAAAATTTTGGATCCTCTTATAGACAAAGTTTGCTCCTGACAACTGGACTATCCTAGCTGAAATCAGGTTCTGTGCTATGTCTGGGATAGAACCATCTATCTGTGGATTTTTAGGTAATCATCTTTACATGTTTATTGTGTTTTTGTGTTAGCATTTAATCTAATGTACTTTAGCACCACTGGTTCTGGTTTGACCTGCCGTTTCCCTAAGAATGGAAAATTACAATCTTGCCCAGAAGAGGGTGGAGAGGTGCATGAAGGCTTTTCTTTAATTTGACTATCTGTTTTACAACACCTTTAATATAAAAATGGAGGCCAAACCATTGATTCTTTGTCATTACATCAGTTTTCACCTACAGCATTTGTTGTCTAAGCTTCCAAAGTAGACCAATGAGAATGAATTGAGGACTGCAGTAAAGCCACTGGTTCCCACTTGTTTGATGAGTTTTCATGTGGCAAATGATTGTTGTTTTACTACTGTAGCTCGCACACTGCCATTGGATAGCTGTAGTCCCTATCAGATTGCCACCTGCGTCCTTTAACCACAGCCATGGCAATATTTAGGAGTACTGCATACATGGGTGTTTACTTGATGCATCTTAGTATTAAGCAGTGACCTTTGTATTCATCAGTTGCTTCTCTATTGCTTTGAAATTGACATTTTTCTATCCATTTATTTGTCTAAATACTTACCTACACGCCTTAACCTAATTCTTATTTAAAATGAAACCTCTAAGGTACAAAATAATTTTCTTTCCTTCAAAGACAATTTTCTTAAAGTGTTTCATTCTGAGGTAGTTTTAAAACTATGCCTAGAACTCAAAATATTCTGCTCTCCTGATACAAAATACATAAGGGCAGCACTGGTCCACACTGATTTGTAGTATGTCTCGTGTAGCTACTCTTTGCTGTATTTTCCCCAGGCCCCCAGCAGGAGCCTCAGAGAATACTTAAAAAATAAAGTTATCTTTTGCTGTTGTATGGATTCCAGGGCTACTACTTAGCAGCTATTTGTGGCAATCTGTTCTATATGATTTATATCATTTTAGAATGCAAAGATAAATAGTTCTGCATAGTGCAGTCCTCCCTTGCTGGATATTAAGATCATAGAACGAAACACCTGTATAAGCTCATGTCTAATCCATTAGCGTTCCTCTCCCTGTCCTCCAGACTCACATGCTGCTCCTTCCCTGTTTGTATGTTCAAAGCCTCAAGGACAATAATCACTCCTTAAGCTCCATGAACGCGGGAGCTTGTTCAGATAAACAGCAAAGCAATGGCCTCTACCTTTAAACCAGCCATCTCTGTGGGACAAAAGGAGTGGTTTACTCCTGTCGTTTGTTTTTCCATTTGCTTTTTGAAGACAAGTCCTCAAGTCTTTGTGATTACCTTAGTGTTAGGCTCCTTTAAAGGTAATGAGGTAATGTGTCAGTTTGATCTATTTACAAACAACATTCTCTGTTTTATTGAAAACTTCAGAAGGGACTACATATATGCATACACATATATATGTATACATAAATACTATATATATGTGTAGTAAACCCATATATAAAGTATGAATACAAAGTATTAACATATATATATAATATTGGATATATTTCTGTACATTAGTATACATAGCCTATGTCTACGTATATATAAGTAGAATAAGATGCATACATGCAGCCAAACAGGATTTGTGGGAAAGAGCACTGTAAGTAGGTTCAGTTTCCGCACGGAATTGAAGTTTTGTGGCATATGTCTTCACAGCTGCCCTGGTGTCTGTCTTCTGTAGTTCTCTTCTATCCTCAAGCCTAATTTAGATACTGGGAAAGCTTCCCTGGGTTGATGAATTTAGGAAACACCCACTTCATCAGGCTTTAATACTATATTTCCCGCCCAATGAACTACGTATGTTGTTCTCATTTTTCCTGCTTAGCCAAAAGCTTGCAGTCCACATACTCATAGGCTTGTTTAGAAGCAATAGATTGCCCACACCAGAAGACTTAGGATAAAGATGGCAGAAACCACACAGTCAAGAACAAAGCTGGCCACCTTTAATACCTGTGATGCATGTGGTCAAGAACATAGTCGACCACCTTTAATGACTGTGATACTGTGTGTGCCAAACAATGTCAAGAAATCCCTGATAACCAAGTGAACAGAGAATAAAACCACAGGCACTGCAAGGCTGAGAACAAAGTTAAATACAGCCAAGAGTTCTAAATTTATGACTGAGCAGCTTCACTTTGCAAGCTATAACCATTCCGTTGCTATTTCTTAGAAGCAAGCACAACTATTGGTCTAGATCATCACATTAAGAATTCCTGATCCTGTAACCAAGTACAATGGTGGAAAAGACAGCTAACTTGCATTTTGTGGCATTGGAGGTGTACTGAAGTTGTGAATCCATTGCAAACTCAGTATGGTTCGCAAAGGTAATAGAAACGACAAGAAGATTAACACTGATAAAACAGAAAACTGATGACAGAGAGAAGAGCAAAGGGCACTAGGATTACGATCTACCATGCAATGCATACATGACGTTCTCTTGGAAGGAAAGGGTAGGCTCAGAGTGGACTTTCAACAACACACGGAGTGGGTCACACATCAGGAACAGCATGCATGGTAAGGGAACCAATGGATTCAGGAATTCATTATGTGTGTTTTTCCAGAACTCTCAGCATAAACCCTAGAAGACAAAAGCAAGGGGACAGAGAACCTGCACTGAGAGCAAGCAGCCTTCATGCTGCATCTCCAGAACTGACAGACCTGAGTTCTTACTAAATGCTGTGTCAAGTTGAGAATGTTTCTAACCAGCAGGAGAGTTTGTTTGCAACCTTGTTCAATCCCTCCTTAGGCACCCTGGTAGTTCTTCTGTTCCGTTATGGTCACCATGGTGATGATAAACCTAGGACACCAAGTCAGCATGTCACAATATAGCACAGAATTTCTGACTTCAGTGACCTTCATGTCCCAGTCTCCTGAGCAACTGGGATAACAGGTGTGTACTGCTGCCCTTGACAGTGTCAAAGTATATATCTTGTGTGAAAATATTCGAGCTAAGAGCAATATGTGGAATGAGAGGAAATGAAGTTACTTGTTTAGATTGTATAGCCAGTCAAATAATATGGCTAGCACTCCAACTTAGCTCTTATTTGACTATGCAGAAGTCTTTGGAAGTACAGTAGCTTTCTTGTTTAGTCATGAGCAACAACCAAATAGCAAAATAGATGGTTCATAGTCCTTTGAAGTGTCTATTTTTTACAATTGAATTATTGCATATTTCTGATTAAGATCAGTATAAAAGACAATATTTATTAGACAATGGTCATACAAAAATAACCTTTTAATTAGATTTTTAATTACTCTGGGGATTATTCCTTTGAAGTAAAGAATGTTATCAACATACACAAAGAGGAAGAGAAAGACAGAGAGAGAGAGAAAGAGAGAGGGAGGGAGAGAGAGAGAGAGAGAGAGAGAGAGAGAGAGAGAGAGAGAGAAGCAAGTAAACCAAACCAAATAACTAGAAGTAACGCTGCAGTACAACTCTGCACTCAAAGCCAATAAATACAAGTAGAAAAGAATGCACATCATCATCTTCCTTGTGGCCTGTAGGGGAGGTAAGACACACAATGTGCTTTGTTAGACATCTTTCCTGGTTTAAAAATTAATGTCATTAAATATACTGTTGATAACAAGGCATGGAGGGTAGGGGATGGCTGTAATTCTAATACTGAGGAGGTTGAGGCAAGAAGATCATAAGTTTCAAGCCATATGGACTACTTAGGAAGATAATGTCTCAAAAATAAGTTAAGGGAGGCTTAGTCTATTTATTTTAGGCTGTACATATATATATATATATATATATATATATATATTACAGGATATTTTGACAGGGTTTTTCTCAATATATTTTATTTAAATTAGAAACATGAATGCTTCACATGTCGATACCAGCTCCCTCTTCTTCCCTTCCTCCCTTGCCCCTCTACCAGCCCCCCAACCCCTTACCCAATCCCCACATCATTCCCCAGGGAGGGTGAGGTCCTCCATGGGGGATCTCCAGAGTCTGTCACTTCACTTGGGGCAGGCTGGGAAAGGTTCCCTCCCTATGGAATGGGTTCCCAGAGTTCATTCATATGCCATGATAAATACTGATCTACTACCCAAGGCACAGGGTTTTTTAAAAAGTTGATCTGTTAAGAAAACGGGTTTGGTTTCTCTAAAACGTGAAGAAGCTGTCTCTAAACAGAATGGCTCATTCTAACTTCCTCAAGAACCTTCAACCATCTGTATGGGAAGCCACAGAAATACACAGTCCCACGCAAACTGTGAGTGCACTCCTAAAGCCTGCGGTGAGCCTTCATTTTGTTCGCAAATAGCGTTGACTGTGTATACATGAGCAGGACTTGGCCAAAAGCTATCTTAGGATGTGTGCACTCTATATGAAGTCATGCAGAGGAACCCAAGGAAGAAAGTGGAGAGTTCGTAATTTCACTTGGAAAAGGTTTATGAGCATACAGAGAGGAGAGGGAGAGATTGCCACCAGGAGTGCTGCATTTACACACAGCTATGTTCAGCAACTGCTGAAACAGACAGCTTTGAATGAGACAAATTGCATAACTTTCAGTAAAGTCACAGAATGTTTCTGCTTCTCTTGTGGTAGCTAAGTGCACCAACATGAAGATCACTAAGGCTTAAAGAAGTTAAATTGTTTTGTATCAAATGGAGGAGTAAAAAGGGACCACCATGCTGTGAGCCAGAAAAAAAACCCTGATCTGCATATCAGCAGATGAGAACATGCCCTTTGTGAGAATCATCTCTTCTTAACGACTGTCCTCAGCAAGTCTGAGTACCTCATCTGGGGCTGGAATGAGGAGCTGTGGGTGATGCTCCTAAATTAACTGCACTTGTTTTATAGAGAGATGCCAATCTTCAGTGACAGACCTCTCCTAAAGGCTAATTGCTGTGAATGATAGACTGCTAGAAATATTTTAAAATAGATGCTCTCTCCACTCACACATTGAAATAAGCTAAGGAATGTGTTCAAGATTAACACTGAAGTATCACTTTATCATATTTAAAATGTCTGTTCTGGTTAGGTGAAGAAATAAATGAACATCATTTGAAATTTGGCCGGAAAAACTCTGAGAAAGAAGCAGATACTGTTACCTAGTCAGGGTGCTAGAGCTTTTTAGAGGACATTCTATTCTGCACTATTTTGTCATCCAGTTTACGTGGAGATCTGATGCATCTGAATGTGCACCACATGAACAGGAAACCAGACAATATCCAGGGGCTGAGACTATGCCCTACTATTGGAAATTCCTAAGAATTATCTCTTCGAGCACTTTTAAATTTTTTTATTTAAATTAAAAGCAATCTTATTTTACATACCAATCCCAGTTCCCTCTCCCTCCTGTCCTCCCTTGCACCCCACCAACCCCACATCTACCCCCAAAATCTACTTCCCAGGGAATGTGAGGTCTCCCATGAGGGATCTTCAAAGTCTAACACATCATTTGGGCACACATTTTTATAGTGGGCTGAACAGGTCACCCTCTCCCTTACTACACTAATTTTTGTCTCCTGGCCCTCATTCTCCACATGACATTGAAGAGGTAGACATTGATGTTTCATGTCCCTATACAATAATTCTCAGAAGAAATTTCATCACTTTTAGTATCTAAGACCTAAATGAGAATTATCTCATCCACATTTAAATGAAACAATAATCAAAGTGTGGTTGGAGAGTCGGCTCGACAATTAAGAGCATTTAGTGTCCCATTGTGAGGAACTGAGTTCCAATCCGAGTTCCACATGAGAAGCAAGGTGTCTTCCAAACACCTGTAAATTCAGATTCAAGGCTTCTGAGCACGAACAGCCATCTGTACCGGTGCACACACAGAAGTGTATCCACACACACACATGCACACATACATGTACTCACATGAATAAATAATAGCATATTGATAGGTATTATGACTATGTCAATGTTTCAGATAAATGCATTGTTTTATATTAAGAAAACAATGACAAAATCCAATTGCGCACATTCCAGAGAAATGATTTATTCTAATTCTGATTGCTCCTTTGTCTAATAGAATCCCAAGTCCAAGCAACATCAAATGTATAAGCTTAAAACATCTTGTAATTTATTTTTTGTACAGGTACATTAAGTGAAAAGGTGAATGACAGAGTAAATGATTGAAATGCCTGGTAGTAAGTCATAGTGTGACTGTGGCTGTCTGAATGCATTTTACCATTGTATTCTTGTCTTTGTCTTGTATCTTGTATTTAAAAGATAAAAGTTGGTACATTACATATACATAAAAGTTTTTCTAGAAAACTGTGTTATCCCCTAACCTTCCAAGTCACTTAATACATGTGGTGCAAACAATAAAATCTCTTGACAGTTGAGGCATGGTGGATCACCCGTTTAATCCCAACACTCAGGAGGAAGAGGCAGGAGGATCTCTATGTGTTCAAGGCCAGTCTGGTCTGCAAAGTGAGTTCTAGAACAGCCAAAGATACCCAGAAAAACCCTGTCTCAAAAAACAAACAAAAATCCCCTGAAATATTCAGTGTGTAGTACAGTATCATCTACTCTACTCCCCATGAGGTATATTTGCAAACTATTGCATTGCTTTTGATTCACAGTTCTGTGCTACCTCTTTCTCCCAATCGCTACTAGCTGTCATTCCGGGCTGCTTTGTCGCAGTATTTTTTTGCCTTTTATATTTTATATTTTCTTTTTTAATGTTTTTATTATTTGAAAAATTTAAAAATTAAACATAGTTTGATCATATTCTTCCAATTCCCCAGGTTGTGCAGATCTTCTCTTCCTCCATACTCACCCAACTTTAAGTTCTCTCTCAAAAAAAAAAAACAAACCAAAATCCTAATACAATAATAGAATGTCACAAGTCTAGAAAACAAAATACATCAGCCCCAAAGAAAACCACCAGCAAAAACCTTGTAACAAAAATAAAAGCATATAAAAATAAATAAACAAACAAACAAATAAATAAAAGCAAAACCATGGAATCTATTATTTGTTGGTCAACTACTCCTGGATATGAGATCTGCATTTGAATTCTTGATATACCCAGTGTCGTTGCATTGGGGAAAACTGATTTTTCCTCTCCCAGCAGTTATAAAAAAAGTTAACCTTTACCCCATCCACTAGGCTTTCATTCATTTGTTTTTGTTTTAATGTACTAAAATAAAACATAAGGTAAAACAGAAACTATCACATCAAAATAAGACAAGACAGACCAGCAAAATGATAAGAGACCAAGAGAAGGAGAAGGCACAGCAATCAGAAATCCATTCCTCCACATGCTCAAAAATCCTATAAAAACATTAAACCAAAAGCCATAATTTAAGCATAGCAGACCTAACACAGAACTCTACAGTCTCTGTGAATTCTTAAGAGTTTTGCTTATGTTGATTTCGAGGGCCTGGATTTCTTGGCTCTTATACTCTTTCTGCCTCCTAGTGCTTGGGGTTCCTTGAGCTTTGAAGGGAAGGACTTGATGAAGACATTCCATTTAGAACTCAATGTTCTATGGTCTCTTACTCTCTTCATAATGTCGGGCTGTGGGTCTCTATATTTGTTCTCATTCGCGGCAGGAGGGAGCTTCTCTGATGATGGCTGAACAAGGCACTTAACACTATTTGTCTTATTGGGGCTATGTTATCTCAGTCAGGATGACTTTCCCTAGTTTCTGCAAATTTCATGGTGTCATTTTTTTAATGGTTCAGTAATACTCCATTGTATAAATGTGTTACATTTTTTATCCCATCTTCTGTTGAGAGGTGTCTAGGTTGAGCAAGTATCCTTGTGGTAAAATGAAGTGTCCTTTGGGCATA